CACACATACTTTGTCTTTTGGTTTGTGCATGTGTATATGAATTTAGATATATTTAATTATTACTAATATATGTATGTTGACGTAGGACGCATATAATCCAGCACAAATTTACGTTTACGTTGGCAAACGTGCATAGATTAGGTTCTATGAAAGCGCGTATATATATATATATATATATATATATATATATATAATACATGTTTTCATCTGCATTTTATGCATTATATAAAGATAGATAATGAACAGACCGAGGTAGATAGATACATGCATACATATATACATACATAATGAATAAACAGAGATAGATGCATAATGAACAGACTGATATATATATATATATATATATATATATATATATATATATATATATATATATATATATATAAAATTTATTTGAAAATTATCACATAAATATATTATAAAATCACTACAAAATAGCTATACACACACACACACACACACATATATACATAAATACATACATATATATATATATATATATAAGCCTTATATTTATTCATGAAGATCTGAAAATCGCTTGCGGCGCACTCTCACCATACAGACTTGATTTCTGTTTGAATCCTACCCTCTATCACTCTCTCTCTCTGAAACACTCTGTTTACATATCTATCTATCTAGAGAGAGAGAGAGAGAGAGAGAAAGAGGGAGAGAGAGAGAAAGAGAGAGAGAGTGAGAAAGAGAGAGAGAGTGAGAAAGAGAGAAAGACAGAGAGATTTCCCTGCCAAATTAAGGATGGGTTCTAAAGCCATTATTTTGTGACTTGCTTCTCCTTTTGTTTATACCAGTTGGTGCCTAAAATTTCTGAACATCCTAAGTGCTTAATTAATATGTTAATGTATGAATATCTTCAACTTTTCACGGAAATCCTAAAATGGTGGCGTTATCTCTTACTGCGAATTTCATCATTGATTGACAAAGGCATTTGGTGTCTTCCGTTCATCAAGTTTTCATTTGACATTCTGTCGGCTGCATTTGTCTTCCTTATTCACAGTTTATTTTCATACAAGTTAAGACAATATTTTATTCATTAATATTTTATATACATATATGTACAGTACGAGGCAAAAAATGGACGCACCCACAAAAAGTCGATTTTTGTATTTTTACGAAGACAAGTGAGAAATGGAATTCTTTTATTAATACATGTGTACATATATACATTATACAAGTGAAAAGAGGGGTATACCCTAGACGAGGGGCAGGGGCCAAAGGGCAGGGTCTCGTCTCGGGAAACTGACTTCGCTTTTACGTAGTCTATAGGGAATTTTTGCCCTACCCCACTTTAAAACTTGACCTTGTGTCACATCTTGCTGCGTCGGGAAGCGGGTAAATAATTATACAAGTGAAAAAATGATTTAGCATTTTGTTGGGTAACCTTTTACTTTAATACCCGCCTTAATTCTTTGTGGCATGCTATAGACAAAATTCTTTAGTAAGTCAACGTTCTGCAATTTTACCAAGAAAAATGAATAAAAGAATTCGTTTATTAATACAGCTTATTAATACAGGTTTACCTATGTACATTATTCAAATGAAAAAATGATTTAGGATTTTGTTGGGTAACCTTTTGCTTTAATAACGGTTTTAATTCTTCGTGGCATGTTATAGACTATATTCTTTAGTAAGTCAACGTCTTCGCCAGATTTTTTCCAGACTTCCCCATCTTCTGTAATTTTCCTATTACATGCACGCTTGTCCATTATGGACCAAATGTTTTCAATTGAGTTAAGGTTAGGACTCTGACTAGGCCACTGGAAGGGTTTCAATTTACCCTCGTCTCGCGGTTTCTCTCTAGATACCGTTTATTCTTTAAGGCAATACGCTTAAGATCGTTATCGTTATTGAATCATTTTTTGACTTATATAATGTACATATATACGCACATGTATTGATAAACGGATTCTGTTACTCACTTCTCTTGGTAAAAATACAAAAATCGATTTTCTAGGGGTGCGTCCTTCTTTTTTTTGCCTCCAATTATATATTTATATATAACCATTTACTACGTGATTATTGTTCACAATGCAAAAATTATTCTATCGATTTCCCCAACAAAAGGAAAGAAAAAAAGATTAACAAGTTTGGAAGTTCTTCACATCAAACAGCGGCAACCCAGCATCAATAAAATTTGTTTTCATTTCCGTCCACACACTGTTATATAACATTTGAAATGTAAAATCGTTTTAATTACGTAACGCATATTGACATATACCTATATGCTTTCTTTGTCGAGATGAGAGTATTTCAACTCCACTTTGCATGCGTGATATATACTGTGTAAAAATTATTAACGGGATGACAATTTTCCATTTTGTCTAAAAACTACACGTCAGTATTTAACGAAATCTTCACAAAATGATGGCAACAGTTATATATGCGAACCTTGTAAAAAGTGTAAAGTTCCGCAAAAATACACAGAATCTACGAACATTTACCTAAATTATATCTGTTCCAAATTATAAGCGAGGTGTAATTAAAAAATCATGGAAACAAAAAAGAAATAACGCTTTAATTGTTTCATAAACAGATTGCTATGAATGCATATAATAGCCGACATTAAACAAAATCGAAATCAGCAAGTACACAGTTCAAAAATAAGAGTGGAGCTGGTAATAAGGGATATGTAATCCTCTTCTTGAAATGATAAGGCGCTGGTTCATAGATGTTATGGTCCAAGGTCCTTGTACCACGGTGATGGTCCAAGGTAGAACCAATAAAGAAGAACTCGGACACAGGCATGGAATAACACAGATATATTACAAACAGGAATATATACAGAGAAGTAAAAGTGTTAGTATGAACAATCAGATTTAGTAGAGAGAACAATGTAGTCTCGACCAGTATCACTATTCCAATGTCTTGTCGTAATTGGCTGAAACGCATCTCTGTTTCGGACTGCCTCTGACTTGACTGACTGACTCTCTCGCTCTGACTGACAGACTCCTGACGGACTTCTGACGGACTTCACTCCAGACTTCAGACTGAACAGTATTTAGTCACCCCCCACGAGGGCATCATGTGGCACAAGGCCGGTTTAACGTGGAATCTCCGAGCCCGTGGGCTCGGCCAAAAATATGCCCTTTGAACCCGTATAAACGGGTTCAGGGTCGATTTACCTCCCCGAAAGAGACTCCGCCCATCGGCGTAGCCTCGTTCGGGTTCCTCCCTGCCCGAAGGCAGAGAGTTCAACCAATCAGCCGATCAGCCGATCGCCTGACTTCAGACTGAACGGTATTTAGTCACCCCACCACGAGGGCATCATGTGGCACAAGGCCGGTTTAACGTGGGATTTCCGAGCCGATCAGCCGGTCGCCCGACTTCGGGCTGAACTTTCTGCTTCCTTTTGAGGCGCTGTATTTATTACATATGGAATAGTCCATTATGTTATTATGGGTAAAGTCCCATAACAATAGAACATGACAATTTCTTGATATCTGATGCAATTTCACGTGATATATTCACTAATGCCCGCCACAAGTCCTCCTTACTTCTAAATCGGCGCCCATTGTCGTAAACATGTCGATTCAGAATGCACCACATGTTTTCGATTGGGTTTAAGTCTGGAGAATTAGCCGGCCAGTTCATTTTCCGAAGTCCACAACACCCAATTCTTGCAGGTACTCCGTAGTTTCACGCGCTGAATGTGAGGGAGAATTATCTTGCCTAAATATGATGGGTCTCCTGAAAGTGATCCTTTGCTTTTTTAACCAAAGTTGAAGGTGCTCTCTCAGGAAGGCTATTGAAGCATCTGCAGCCGTTTTAATACCATCAGGCACTTTTCCCCGGACCAACCATGATACCTCCAATAATACCAGCTCAAATTATGATACCCCTTCCTATTTTTTAGCGTCTTAAAAATTGATGACGATGTCGGCTGTTTACGACCCAACGTTTGCACCAATCGTCAGGGACATGGAAGTTAACACGAGATTTATTCGTGAACAAAACCTTCGAGAAGTCGACCTTCATGTTATCTTCTGCTCATGTCAGACGCTTTTGTAGGTGTCTTTTTTATCAATGGAGGCGTTGTCACTACTCACAGTGATTTCCCGGCCTTTTTCAGAAGACGACATCGATTAGATTTGGATACAGTTATTTTCTCCAGTGTCCCTGAAAAGTTCTCTGTTGGTCAGGCCTGGGTTATGTGCAACTTCACGTTTCATTCGCGACAGAGAATGTTGGGTAACAACCCTCAAGGCGAGCGCTCTTACGTAACTTCGTCGGAGCTGCAACCAATCTTTTCACAGTTTGATGATATCTTCAAATTATTTAGGGTATTTCTAATATTGATTTATCTTTTGCAATTCAGATGTAACAGACTTCCCAGAAGCGGTTAAGTCACAATTGCGTCCCATAATTCCACGATTATGAAGTCACTCTTTAATAATATGGAAAACTAAAGTATCGTTTAACTCACGAAAATGGCGGCGGTTAGTTTTCACTTGCGCAGGACATTACAGTTTTTACACAGCACGCGCATATAACTGTAGCCATCATTCTGTGAAAATTTTCTCAAATTCCAAAGTGTAGTTTTGGGAAAAAAAATGGAAATTTGTCACCTCGTTAATAATTCGTTCCACGGTGTATATGTGTATGTGGGGGGGGGAGTATAAAACGAAAGTCTATCGAAAGAGTCGTCAACTCTTCATTATAACACCCGCCTCCAAAATAAAATTAAGTAATATTTGTTTCAAATTGGAATAATTAAATTTAAAACAAGATAGATAGATAGATAGATAGATAGATAATGAATAGACTGTGATAGATAGATAATGAACAGACTGTGATAGATAGATAGATGCATAATGAAGAGACTGTGATAGATAGATAGATAGATAGATAGATAGATAGATGCATAATGAAGAGACTGTGATAGATAGATAGATAGATAGATAGATAGATAGATAAACTGTGATAGATATGTAGACAGATAATGAACAGACTGTGATAGATAGATAGATAGATAATTAATAGACTGTGACAGATAGATAATGAACATAGATAGATAGAGAGATAGATAATTAATAGATTGTGACAGATAGATAATGAATAGACTGTGATAGATAGATAGATAGATAGATAGATAGATAGATAGATAAACTGTGATAGACAGGTAGACAGATAATTAATAGACTGTGACAGATAGATAGATAATGAATAGACTGTGATAGATAGATAGATAGATAGATAGATAATGAACATACTGTGATAGATAGATAGATAGATAGATAGATAGATAGATATCACGCATACGCAGTGGAGTCGTAATATTATCACTGCAACCAAGAAAGCACGAAAAAACCTAAATTCAGTTTCTTTTATCCAGATTTTCCCATAAGGCGTTTAGCAATCTTGATGCCATTTATCGTATGCATCACTGAAAAGCCTTTTGAGTTATTCAGATAAAAAGAGAACAGGTAAAAATCATTTTGTGTTAGCCCCACTCTCATCTCACCTCAGCAATAGTGAGAGAAAAAAGACTATTCAGGCCTACAGTAATGGTACCAACATTCATAGTCTGGATTCCATCTTCAAATTTTATTCAAGAACCATCAAGAGAACGGTGAATAAGTTTTAAAATGAGCAGAGAGAAAAACTGGATCAAGAGGTCAACAACAGGAAGAAGGATCATCATTTCAATTTAGAGTTGAACAGATCAATTAGAAAAGATCCAACTTAATTCGTAAGACGTTTGGTACGTGAGAGATGAGTTTCAGCTATGACAGTCCAAAGAACAATGACAGAACTTGAAAATGAAATCGTACGTGAAACGTGTTAAGCAAATTGTTACTTCAGGACAAAAATTTAGAAGATTAGAGAGGGCGAATATCATCGCGGATAAGCAGGAAAATGATTCTGGAATAATATATATATATATATATATATATATGAACTTTATTTAAATCTTTCATGAGCTTCCGATCCTTAGCTATGATTGAATAATGATGAACATGTAATTTTTGTTTATGATCGATTCCATGACGATTCTTCTGTTAACCTTGGAGAGTAATTCTACATTCTTATTGCTCAAAATAAAGTCCAATAGGGTTATAAAAATCTCGGCGAATTCCAGTAAGATATCTTTAATCAATTCAAAGATACAACAGTTCAGAACTTAATGTAACAATGGGACAATTTTTCTGTTACACCAAGTATACATTAAAGCAGTTGGTAAATTTCCTAATCTGATATGTTGGCAACCTTCCTAGGAGAAGGAAAACTCGGATGAATAAATCTATGTTACTATATAAGTATGTATATAGATGTGTGCGTGTTTATGTCTGTATGATTGCCTGTGTATGTATATATGAGTGTATATATTTTTATTTGTGTGTATATATGTATATATTGGCTCGGGTCGTGATGTGTAATAAACCTATCTATGTATATAAATATATTTACATATGTGTATATAAGTATATGTGTATGTGTATGAAATATTTGTGTATATGTGTGTGTGTCTTGGGTGGGGGTGCCTGAACGGACCGAGTAGGGAAATCACGGGTGCTCCCAAGTCAACTCCCTGCAATGTGATAGGTCCTGTTCTGGCAATATCGTCTACAGTGACTTTCTCATAGACGTACTGTGGCTTCCCTCTGTCTTTTCTACAAATATTTTCATGGCAACTGCTCTGACAAGCTACTTACACTGGTACCCCAACTGCATGAATTTAAGCGTGCTACTAGGTTGGCATCTCGGTCCCACCCTTTCACTGTCGAAAGAGTTAAATTTAACTGCCTCTTCTACTCCAACAGCTTCTTCTCTTGCACTTCCCGACATCGGAATTCCCTTCCTCTTAGATACTTCCCTGATAACTATAATATTCAAATATTCAAATGTAATGACAATCGATATCTTCTGATGCATTGTTCTTGACCCCTCTTTACACTTACACTCACTCCGGGTAAACCCTTGCATGTTAGAGGTATTTTTTACTTTGTTTGGGGTAAAATGATTATATATATATATATATATATATATATATATATATATATTCCAATAACCGACTGGAATCGAATCTGTACCCTATACGGAACCGTCATATAACCAGGCGTTCCTTAACCGATTGGGCCACAGAGGATCGTTCTGTTAGCAGGGTCGAATTTACTGTATTTAAACTGCTCGATGCGTATCCAAATGTAAACAAGTGACGTCACACATTATGAAATGGACAAAGTCCGACAATTATTTTAAGACATTTTTATGTTTATACATTCTTTTTATAGATACAAATATTTAAGTAAATTCTCTGTTTATAATAAACAGTATTAAAAAACATTTACCGGCCTGAATGTCCGAGGAAATTTCATAGAAAATATTCGTCTTCCGACAGGAATCGAACCTGTATCCTATACGGAAACGTCATATAGGCTGATGTGCCTTTAACCGAAAATTCAGGCCGGTAAATGTTGCTTAATACTGTTTATTATAAACAGAACATTTACTTAAATATTTGTATCTATAAAAGAATGTATAAGCATAAAAAATAATATATATATATATATATATATATATATATATATATATATATATATATACACACAAACACAAATGTGAGAAAAACAGATGGAGTAAAAAAAAACACTGTTCGTAGAATTTATCTTTTTTAAAAGTGCTCAATACAAAGTAGAGCAATATATTATTATTATATTTTTATTATAAGAGATTATAATAATAATATTTTGAAATCGCTACACAAGAGCTTTCATGTTTCAATCGCCTGAAGGATTACAATCATAGTATTGAAACATAAAATGTTTTGTGTAGCTATTTCAAAATGTCATTTATTATTATCCCTCATAATATATATTATATATATATATATATATATATATATATATATATATATATATGTGAAGACATGCCACGTTAATTAATTAACACAAGTTTTGTCTACTTGTTTTTAAAAGGGTCCTCTTCTAATTACGGACTTAATATACTTATTAAAGAAAGAAAAAAACTTTCCATGTTGATGCATATTCATTTTATTCCAAGTACTTTCGACATTAACACAATGTCATCATCAGGGTCTTGTTTTTACTAAGACAAAAAATAATTGTGTTCATCTGAAAATTAAATTTTTATGTGTGAACTGAAAAACGCTAAGGTCCTGTATTGCACATTTTTTAAATTTTATCATGTAGACACACATGCAAACATCAAGGGAGGTAAGTAAGTTATTGAAATGTTTAAATAGTTTTTTTAAAAAAGAAAAAAAATAATAAAATTTAAGGCGTACTATATCCGGTGTGTCGATGCAGAACCTCTTTCAATAGCTGTTGCATTAATATTGTAGCAAACTTTAGGTTTCTGGAAAACTTGAATATATTTTTAGGCTTGATACGTTCATTTCACGTTCTATAAGCACATTTTTCTGACAAAATGTCCCAGGGAAATGATCATCTCTCTTGAGATTTTCGTGCACAGCAAAATTACCATTGTGAGATGCAATCTTCTGAACTGGAATTGCATAATTTTGGATTACTCCAGGGCGATCTTTGCGTCTTTCTGGTTGTATGCTTCTATTCGACTCAAAATTCAGAAAATATTTAGGGATCCTATTGTCTTTTATTCTGACGACATGAACGAAACCATGGCTACCATCGCGTAGAAATACAAGAGATCCTGACAGTGGTTGCAGTCGAGGAGATGACACGTTACACACGAAAATTTGCTTTCGGATGTACACGAATGACAAATGTAACCCAGTCTACAGGGCAACACAACGCCCTCTACTGTAAAATTTCTTTAAACTTAATTAATCAAAACACGAAGGATTTGCGGACACATGTTTATGTGGAATTTTATCCTTGTTTCGGTGTAAGGAAACCGGCCCCTAAAATTTGTAAAAGTTATTTTGAAACACCCTGTATATATTTATATATATTTATCTCAATATGTTTAATATCTATCTATCTATCTATCTATCTATCTATCTATCTATCTATCTATCTATCTATCTCAGTTTATTCAAATGTATCTATCTGTCTATCTATCTCTGTTTATTATTATTATCTATCTATCTATCTATCTATCTATCTATCTATCTATCTATCTCTGTTTATTCAAATCTATCTATCTATCTATATATATATATATATCTATTTCTGTTTCTTCATATCTATCTATCTATCTATCTATCTATCTATCTCTGTTTATTCGTATCTATCTCTGTTTATTCATATCTATCTATCTATCTATCTATCTATCTATCTCTGTTTATTCAAATCTATCGATCTATCTATCTATCTATCTCAGATTCTTCATATCTATCTATCTATCTATCTATCTATCTATCTATCTATTTCAGTTTCTTCATATCTATCTATCTATCTCTGTTTATTCATATCTATCTCTGTTTATTCAAATCTATCTATCTATCTATCTATCTATCTATCTATCTATCTATCTCTGTTTATTCTTATCTATCTATCTATCTATCTATCTCAGTTTCTTCATATCTATCTATCTATCTATCTATCTATCTATCTATCTATCTATCTATCTATCTATCTATCTATCTATCAGTTTATTCATATCTATCTCTGTTTATTCATATCTATCTATCTATCTATCTATCTATCTATCTATCTATCTATCTCTGTTTATTCATATCTATCTATCTATATATCTATCTATCTAAGTTTCTTCATATCTATCTATCTATCTCTGTTTAATCGTATCTATCTCTGTTTATTCATATCTATCTATCTATCTATCTCAGTTTCTTCATATCTATCTATCTATCTATCTATCTATCTCTGTTTATTCAAATCTGTCTATTTATATATTTCTTTTTATTCATATCTATCTATGTTTATTCATATCTATCTCTGTTTATTCATATCTATCTATCTATCTATCTATCTATCTATCTATCTATCTATCTATGTTTATTCAAGTCTATCTATCTATCTATCTATCTATCTATCTCTGTTTATTCATATCTATCTATGTTTATTCATATCTATCTATCTAT